TGCGGATGAAGAACACGAAAGCAAATGGGGGAGGGATGGAACGAGGAGGAAACGCAATGCCATACACATAATGAGTAAGCAGACTGCCGCACCTTTGATCCCCTCCCCGAGGGGTCCCCTCTCGGAGGGGGCCGTTGCCCTGTCTTATCGCGAGTGTGCTGAAGCCCCTCTTAAGGGGTTCCCCTCTTAAGGGGTTTCATCGCTCGCCAATCCATCGCGCGGTCCCCTCGCGGAGGGGCGCCCCTGCGATGAGGGGGTGCCGTCTAGCACTGGAGAGGGCGCTCTGCCAACGGGTATGGCGATGGCAATGGCGATGAAGACGGTAAGGATGATGATGAGGATGGATGCGATGATGAGGATGGATGCGATTAGTCGCCCAAGCGCTGTGCCACTAAGCGCTCAGCCTCCGCCTTAGCAGCTTCCTTGGTGTCAGCCACGGTGCCGTCGACCAAGGCCTTCTTCAGCTCTGCGCCGATCTCCCTGAGCGTGGCCTCGTCCAAGGTGTCCCTGTACTTTTTCCCGCCGAAACTCACAAACTGGTTCTTCTCGCCGTGCGTCCGCTTCAACCCGATAGAGCGATCCCTCTTGTAGTACATCACGCTGTACCCGCGGTCGGCGTGGCCAGCGGGGGGCCCAGCGCCGACCGAGGGCTCGTCTGCAGCATCCACGGGCTCATCGGGTTCCAGCTGCTCTTCCTCCTCCCCCCTCATCGTCCTGGTCCGTCTCCGTGTTCGCGGCGGCTGCGCTGGGCTTTCTCATTGCAGGCTTCTTTGCCACTACATGTCCTGCTGGCTTCCCTTTTTTGCACGCTTTCGCCTTCGCCTGCGCGGCTGCCGCTCTTGCTGCCAGGAGGGCGTTGGGCTGCTCCGTCTTCTCCGTCCTGCCGTCGGGAAACACGGCATCCAAGAAACCACCGCCTCCTTTCGTCAGTGTTCCCCGCTCCTCCCTGTCTGCGAACTTCATCACCGTGCACATCGGCTCGGAGTTGAAATCGAAATACGTGGCCAGGGGATCCTGGGGCGGGTCTCTCACTTGCCCCTCCCGAGCTCCCCTCCCGAAGGGGTTCGGTTACGCCGTGAAAAATCAAAACTGCCCCCCTCCCCCTCCAACCCTGCCCACCCCCTCCGATCCTCCTTCGGGGCCGCGGCGGGCGGGTCAGCGAGCTCGACGTCCTCCTGCGACGAGAACACCACCATCGGGCTCCACGCGGCAACCTTCTGTTTCTTCCCTGCCGGTTTCGGAGGCGGGCTGATGCCGAAGGCGTTCTTGATGGCATTGCACCTGCTGCCCCCATCTGCGCTGGACGACGTGGCGGCCGTGGAAGAGTTTGGAGGGTTCATCGCTATGTCGGAGCTGCTGTCGGCGCGTTTTTTGCTCTCTCCTGTGCTTGGGCTTGCCCTGCCAGGCTGCAGCCCCATTGCCACCCCAAGCATTTTTGCGTGCGCCTCCAGCTTCCCCCCCGTCTTGGCGATGTAGAACTTGTTGCAAACATGGCTGAACGCGTTGGCCACCTCCTGGCAGAAACGCCTACGCTCTTCCTGGTGCATGTTCGGCTTCTGCTTCAACACGACATCCTGGAGGTTCTTCCATTTGACGCGTGTGGTGAGCTGCGCAAGCGGCAAGAGAAACGGCATGTTGTTCTTCATGAAGTCATCTATGCCCCCTTGCAGTTGGCATTTTTCGATGAGATCAATGTGCTGTTTCACGAGCGGCTTCAACTCTTCCTCAGTCACAGAAGAAGCCCGTATCTTCACCTCCGTCTTGCCCTTGACCATTGCCCACCCCCCGCGCAGTGCGCGCAAGCAAGAGTAGCGCTATGTGCCCTCGAGCCTTCGCAGCTGCGGGATGTTGTAACACGCGCGCAATGTGATGCAGCCGATACCCCTCGCTCAGGGGACGCATGCCCCCTCACTCAGGGGATCCTTAACAATGCGCGAGCGAAGAAAAGTACGACCTGGCCAAAAATCACGGGTTGGACTATAGTGCGACCCAAGGAAAGTGCCAGGTCGATCTATAGTTCGACCCCGCACTATAGATCGACCTTGGAGTCTCAAGGAGGGGCGCGGGCATCTTATCCCTTGGCGCCCCCGCAGACCCCGCGGCCGGCGGGGACGGCGATTTGGAGAGTTCTTGTCCAGAGCGTGGTGGAATGCCGGTTCCCGCCAGCTGCGGGGCGCGCAGCTGGAGTGGAAATCTTGGCCCTTGGCGCGCCCCGCTGCTGGCGGGAACCGGGATTTTGGCGAGGACTTGCCTGGAACGTGCGAAAAAAATCCCGGTTCCCGCCAGCTGCGGGGCGCAGGGCGTGGAAATTTCAGCCCCTGGCGCCCCCGCGGGCTCCGCGCTGGCGGGAACTAGGATTTTGGAGAGTTCCTGTCTGGAACGTGCGGAGATCCCTGTTCCCCCCAGCTGCGGGGCGCAGAGGGGGTGGAAATCTCAGCCCCTGGCGCGCCCCGCGGCTGGCGGGAACAGGAATTTTGGAGAGTTCTTGTCCAGAGCGTGCGGAAATCCTGGTTCCCGCCAGCTGCAGGGCGCGGGGGTGTGGAAATTTCAGTCCCTGGCGCCCCTGCACGCCCCGCGGCCGGCGGGAACCGGGATTTTGGCGAGGACGTGCGGAAATCCAGGTCCCCGCCAGCTGCAGCTGGCGGGAACCGGGATTTTGGCGAGGTTTTGTCTGGAGCGTGCGCAAGTCCCGGTTCCCGCCAGCTGCGGGGCGCAGGGGCGCCGAAATTTTGGCCCCGGGCGCCTTCGCAGGCAGGCCCCGCGGCTGGCGGGAACCGGGATTCTGGATAGTTCTCGTTTGTGCAGAAATCCCGGTTCCCGCCAGCTGCGGGGGGGGCGCAGGCGAGTGGAAATCTCAGCCCCTGGCGCGCCCCGCTGCTGGCGGGAACTGGGATTTTGAAGAGGTCTTGTCCGCGCGGGGAAATCCCGGTTCCTCCCAGCTGCGGGGCGCAGCTGCGCGGAAATCTTAGTTCCTGGCGCCCTTGCGCCCCGCGGATGGCGGGAACAGGGATTTTTGAGATCCCTGTCCGGAACGTGTGGAAATCCGGGTCCCCGCCAGTTGCTGGGCCCATGGTCGTGGACATCTTGTCCTGCTTGGGCTGCGCAGGAATCACGGTTCCTGCTAGTCGCGGGGCGAGGGAGTAGCCGAGCCGCGGCTCCCGTGCCCCACGCTGCGTGCTCGAGGAGGAGGAGGAGGAGGAGGAGGAGGAGGAGGAGGAGGAGGAGGCGAAGGAGGCGAAGGAGGACGGAGGAGGAGGATGAGGAGGAGGAGGAGGCGGAGGCAGAGGCGGAGGCGGAGGAGGAGGAGGAGGAGGAGGAGGAGGAGGCGGAGGCGGAGGCGGAGACGGAGGAGGAGGAGGAGGTGGAGGAGGTGGAGGAGGAGGAGGAGGAGGAGGAGGAAAGGGAGGAGGAAAGGGAGGAGGGGGATATCAGAAAAGAGGGTGTCAGGATGAAGATCAGTGGGGAATCCACAGCGCTTCATCCCTTCACTCCTTTTCGCGCGCACGCGCCGAAACGATGTCGCTCGAACGGCCGTGGATTTCGCGCGAACTGTTTTTCGCGCGAACGGCGCACTCTCGTCCCCACCCCCCCTCTCCCCATTCCTCCCCTCTCTCCCAGTTCTCCTCGCACCTTCCTTCCCTCCCTTTATTGGTCCTTCCCCTCCCCCTCCCCTCCACAATCACACACTATGCATACTCCTGTCCTCTATCCCTCGACTCCGACCAAACGATGGCCGATTCTCTCTCCGCGTATTTGTTGTGCTTGGTTTGCAGACTTGGGCAAAGGTGGTCTCCCCTATGATATTGTTTATATTTGCAGCGTGCTCCCGTCGTTTTTCAGAAGGGCGCTCTTGCCTCAGCGTGCGCAACTTTTCTGGATCCGGGTCCTCTTTCATCGTTGTCGCCCCCTCATTTCCCCTCCTCCGCCTTCCCTGGTCCTCTTGCTCCCGCCGCTCTTTCCACTCCAGTTCCTGCTGCGGCTGTTCGTCGTCCTCGTCTTCGTCGTCGTCGTCCTTCCACATCCTCCTGCTCCTCCGGCTCATCCTCCTGCTCACCCCCCACCCCCCACCTCCACTTCCAATGCACGCATATTCCTTTTTTTTCTCCCGATGCTGTATACAACGATGGGGTCTTCTGGTTGGGGTTCCAGGTCGGATATGGCACGAGTCCGCGAATAGAAAACAATCAGCGCAATGGGAAGGGATGGGAGGGAGTGACAGGATGTCTGATGCCGTGCGAGCGTACCCAGCTTTGCCCTCAGCCTCTCTCTACCCCTCGCCTCCCTGGTGGGGAGAGGAGGAGGAGAGGAGGAGGAGAGGAGGGGAGGGGAGGGGAAGGGAGGAGAAGGATAGAAGCTGGAAGGGAAGGAGGGACCCTCCTTTTTGCGCTCCTCCCCCTCGTGATCCACATAGCGTGAATCACAGCCCCCCGTCGGCAGGCGTACGTCTACCGCCTCGAACTGGGGTTGCGGCCTAATTTGCTCAGCAAGGCTGAGCAAGCCCAAAGGGCCACCTAATCGTCAGATTAACCGACTACGTCGAAGCGCTCGTTCACGTTCTCGTCCTTCCCCTCCCGCTCCTCCTCCCAGAGGAGGCGAGGATGACGGGAGGGGAAGGAAAGGAGGGGAGGGGAGGGGAGGGGAGGGGCGGAGTGGGAAGGGAGGGAGGGGGAGGAGTGGGGGGGGGAGGAGGAGCAGCAGGGGATGGGAAGCAAAGGAGGGGAGGGGGAAGGGGAGAGTAGGAGGAGAGGAGGAGGGGAGGGGGAAGGCAGGAGGAGGGGAGGGGGAAGGGGACGGAGGGCACCCTCATCCTCCTCCTCCACCTCTACTACCTCCTCCTCCTCCTCCTCCTCCACCTCCTCCTCCTCCTCTCCTCCTCCTCCTCCGCCTCCTCCTCCTCCTCTTCTCCTCTTCTCCTCCTCTCCTCTCCTCTCTCCTCCTCCTCCTCTCCTCCTCCTCCTCCCCCCCCTTCACACCCGCCCCTCCACTGCCCTCTGCCGCAGGCGGCGGCGGAGGCCCTCCGTGCGCTGGACGAGCCGGCCTCAGCGCGCAGGGGCCACTCGCGGCCATCGCGGCTGCCAGGGGGGGGGGGGGACGAGGGGCGGGAGGAGGAGGAGAGGAGGAGGAGGAGGTAGGAGGAGGGGAGGAGGAGGAGGAGGAGGAGAGGAGGAGGAGGGAGGAGGGAGGAGGAGGAGGAGGAGGAGGAGGTGGAGGAGGAGGAGGAGGAGGAGGAGGAGGAGGGCTTGAAGGAGGAGGAGGAGGAGTGAGGAGGAGGAGGAGGAGGAGGCAAGGAGGAAGGAGGAGGAGGAGGAGGCGGCGGGAGGAGAGGGAGGAGGAGGAGGAGAGGGAGGGGAGGAGGAGGAGGAGGAGGAGGAGGAGGAGAGAGGAGGGGAGGAGGACGGAGGAGGACGGAGGAGGACTGAGGAGGCGCGGAGGTGAGGAGGAGGAGGAGGAGGGGGGGAGGGGGGAGGAGGAGGAGGAGGAGGAGGAGGAGGAGGAGGAGGAGGAGGAGGAGGAGGAGGAGGAGGGGGGGCGAGGGGCGAGGAGGAGGAGGAGGAGGAGGAGGAGGAGTAGGAGGAGGTCCCCCCCCTCCATCGTCCCCCTTCTCCCACAGATCCCGATTTGAGTCCCGAGGGCGCGTTCCAGGGCGACGTGCTCATTGACAGTAGCTGCACGTGCAACGCACATACAAGTTTCAACGCCGAAGGTTTTGCTGAAGCGTGCATTTGCGTTCTTCAGTGGCTGGGTCGGCAGCCTACGCATCCAAACATGAGGTGTTGCCGAACATGTGGTGTATGTCGCAGCTGGCCGCCCTCTCCCTCCCCCACATCAATGACAGTTGCTCTGATTACAGGAGGGTGCTCCAGCTGCACGGCGGCGAGGAGTACCCGAGGCGCAGTCGATGGGCGGGGTTCAGAGTTCTGGCGTGCGGGAGCCGTTCTCGTGTCGGGGAGCGCCTCCAGAAGGTCAGGGCCCACCAAGCCCCAGAAGCCCTGCCCGTGGGAAGCAAAGAGTGCCGGATCGCCAGCGGCAAGGATGCCGCAGACCGAGCTGCCAGGGCAGGCCAGCCACAACTGGGGGAGCTGTGGTCCTTACCCCCCTGGGGGACCCATCAATTTCGACACCCCTCTCGAGAGATCGTCGATGCGATGGGTTCCCCCAGGGGGGTAAGGACCACAGCTCCCCCAGTTATGGCTTGTCGGCAGGGCCGCTGCGAAAATTGGTAGCGGCCCAAGCACAGCAGCGGCGGAGCAGTCGAGTCAGACACTGGGTCGCTTAAGAAGTGCCTCCGGCAAAACGGCTTGGCTCAAGTACAACGTGTTGGCTCCAGCATTGCATTCGCGCGTGCAGTCGAGCAAAGTTGTAGGGAAGATGTGCCCGATCGTCGTGAGCCACTGGTTGCGGTGGGGCAGTCGCCAGACAGGAAGAAGGGTAAACAGGAGTTGGAGGTGGAGGGTTTTTTGCCGGGTATGCCAGCGTGGGCGATCGCTACGCAGGATAACATCATGCAGCACACCACGCACCAGAGCGATAACGCAACGATGCAGATAGATCAACGAGGCGACAAGACTGGCCATCAAAGCGGATGCCGACGTCAAAGTGTTGGGAAAGGAGGTCGAAGACGTGAAGCCAGCCCTGAAGAAGTTGGATGACTTCGAGGCCGAGTTCAATCGGAGGCCTAGAGGTTGACACCAACACCAGTATCGGCGGTGTGCCTCCACCGAGGGAAGAAGATCCCGATCTCGGCGATGGTGGTAATATTCTGGCTTCAAGGTGACCGAAATATTACCACCAACACCGAAATCTAGGAGCATCATCCCCTTGTGGAGGCAGCCCCTGTGTTGGTGTTGGTGCCCCTTTCCAGGCCTCCAATTCAAGGCTTTCCAGGAGCAATCGAAGCCGCAGTGGCCGTCACGGGCTGCGGCATCGAGCGCCGAGAAGGCCAAGAGGAAGGGCGGCGAGGCGGAGGAGCAGCGCAGCAGGGCCGCCGGCTTCGAGCAGTTCCCGAAGGAGACGGAGGCGGTCGACATCGCGAAGTGCTTGGAGGCGGTGTTGGAGGAGGGTAAGGAGGACATCGAGGAGGTGTTCGCTTTCGGCTGGATTTCCGCGGAAGGGGGGGCAGCGCGCGTCAAGACGTCGGATGCGATGTGGGGGTGCTTGGAGGACAGTGCGGGCAGCCGCGCGAGCGCGTACAGCGGGCAGGATCCAGGTCCAGGTTCGGAGGATGGGAGGCGGGAGAGGGCAGTTAGCAAGCCAGTGAGGGCCAAATTGGGGCCAACGGGGTGCACGGGAGCGTAATCAAGCAGCATATCGACACGGACTACCGGAAGGGCGTCGTTTGGTGGAGGGAGCAGAGAGCTGCGGGGAGGAAGAGCGGGTCGATGCACATCCTGGCGCTCGAGCACAAGGATCGGTTCGACCAGCTGTGCTCCGAGGAGTAGGGTCCAAGGGGTAGTGGCGGAGGAGGCCGCGGCATGTTCGCGGCCGTGGGCGGAGGTGTTCCGGTCGCGATTCTGCGACGACAAAGAGTTGTGAAGGTGGCGCTGGACGCAGCAGCTGAGCCCCCTAGTCTGGATCGGGACAAGCACGGAGCAGACTCAGAGGCTGGCGTGGATTTTTTTGTCACAGTTCTACGCTGCATGATGTTGAATTTGTTCTTTGTCTGATCAATATACAGGGGTTGCGCAGCTCTCTTGCCGAATGGGCAGCCCGGGTGCGGGTCGGCGACAGGGGGCTTGCAATTATTTGCGTTGCGGATTCGTTTTTGGTTCGTGCAATTTCGCGCGTTGATATTGAAGGCTGTTTGGAGGTAGCCCGCCGAGACAGGACTGATGGTAGCAGCAGTGGAGGAGTCATTGTTTCCGCAGCTCGTGCAATATCCCAAGTAACGCGAGCGAGTAAGCCAGCTGTGGAGGAAAGGCTATGGCGCGCTTGGCACGCAGAGCGAGGACCTTGCTTGATCGGGGCATGGTGCAGACCACCTGACAATGGGGCCAACAGCGCAATCAGTTGTGCTGAGAGGCATGCTGCATTGAGCGGGGGGTTTTGGGCATTGCGTTGCCAGGGGACTTGAACGCACATCTCAAGCCTCAGTTGCGATTTTCTTCTCATGCGTCGCCGGAGGGGAGGCGCTGCGATTAACAACCGCTGGCGCGGTACTGCGCCAGGTAGTCCGCGCGCCAACCCGCGGCCCGCATGCGCTCGATTTGGTGCTCGCAGACGATGGCGGCCTGAAGACCGCAGTGCTGCCGAAAGTTGCTGGCCACAGCGTCGTCGAGCTTGCGCGTTCGACGCCGGCCGCCTGGGCGCGCGGCGCTCGCGGGGAAGCGCGGCATTTCCGCGGCGCTGATAGGCGCGAGCTCAACGCGCTACTGGCGAACGTTGACTGGCGTTCTTTGTTTCGCATTGACACAGCAGGCGGCGCTATCCAGATGACTGAATGCATCTTAGACTGTGCCAGGCAGCGCATCCATGCGACATGGATCACCGAGGAAAAATCGACGCACCCGTGGTTTAACGATCGGATGATTATTAAAGCTGTGAGAGCCAAACGAAAAGCAGAAAGGGGGCGGTCTGGAGGCCGAACTTGCAGCGAAATGCAGCATCATTGCTAAGGAGTACAACGAACGATGCGGCGAGGTGAGGGATGAGCTCAATCAGATGCGTAGGGGGGGGCCCAAAAACTGGCGGGGGACAGAACGGCCGCTTGAACTTCAAAGAGCACGACCGAGCGCAATCTCTGCATTTAAGCAGTCAGGCGGTGAGTGAGCCAGGGGCCCGGCTGGAAAGGCGAATATTTTGGTTCAAACTTCCAGCGACAAGTTTCATTTGCTCGGTCGAGAGGATAACGGGCATTCGCACATTCGCTCTGCGGATGCGACGTGGGGCACGGAACCAGCAGCGACCCTCGGCAAAGATGGCGTCGACTTTGCATTGGGCGCCCTCCGCGAGGATAGCGCCACTGGCCCAGCTGCTTCCGACGAGAATGTGGAGGAGATGCTCGGCGTCGCTTGCGCTGCCCGTGCACTTGCTGGGCGCGGCGATTTTAACCCGAGGTGTGGCCTGCAAGCTTGGGCGCCCACTGGACTGTTGTAAGAAAAAGACGGCGCTTGATCCCAAGAGTTACAGGGGCGTGCACCTCGCTGCGCAGCTAGCCGAGGTCATCGAGGGATTTCTGCAGCCGGCGCGCTGCCCTGCGCTCATGTCGGAATCGAGCGTTGGCCGTGATCAGCACGCTTGCGGTCGAGGCAGCGGCGCCCGAGACGCCGCGGCATCCCTCGTGCTGTCTTGGCTGACGGCATCCTTAGAGAAATCGAAAGTTGCTCTTTATATATATATATATATATATATATATATGACCGTTTACGCTTGTGTAAGGCAATACTGTTTGGGGGCATCGTTGAACGCCGTCTCCTTCCGTAGCCTCTTTCCAAGGCTTGCAGGGTTTGGGGGGCCTCGGGCGAGCCGACACCTCACTGCATTGGTGCTCGCCCGAGGTCCTCGTCTGCTTCCTCCGGCTCCGACCTGGTCCGCCCCAGGTCGGGGTGGGGACTCCCAGGAGAGCGACGGCGCTGGGAGCGCAAGTGCCCTCTCATGGCCGGAGATCAGGACGAGGAGCTGGACGGGAGCGCGCAGCTGTACACCCCGTCGGGCGACGAGCTGGACGGGGAGGGCGGTGGACTGCCTCCTGTCCCCGCCGAGGAGCTGCGGCTCGTCGAAGGCCAGGCGTATTCGTCGACTGGCTACAATGCCCAGGGCGACGTCCAGTGCCGCTTCACGTGGGTCGCCCTTCGCCTCTCGGTCGGAGTCGAGACGTACGCCAGGCCGAGGTTCCTTTTCTCAGACGACCCGTACTGGGACTGGTGGGCGTCGAACCCAGGCGAGCGCGGGGCTGTGACTGCGCGGCCCCTCGTCCATGTGTGCCGGACGCAGCCGTGCCAGGTCCAGCCGCCGCGGGGCTGCTCAGAGCTGGTGCACATCACAGACGCGACCCCCGTCTCGGCCGACGAGCTGCGGGAGGTCTTTGCGGCGTTCCTCTCGGACAACCCAGACGCGGTCTGGCCCGCCGACCTCTTCGGGCCGCGGCTCGCTGGAGGGGTGCCGGCGGAGGCGCCAGCCAGGAGGCCGGCTGCGTCGGAGCAGCCAGGGCTGGACGAGCTCTGGAGCGGCGACGTTGTCGAGGCGGATGGGGGCAGCCGCCGTGCCAGCCTCCGCGGGAAGCTGGAGGCAGCGCAGGACCGCTTCGCGCGGCTTCAGCAGCAGCGGCGGGCCGCCGCGGGTGCTGCGGAGGCGGTCGCTGCCCTGGACGACGAGCCGCCCGCGAAGGTCCCGCGGCAGGGCGGGCCGCCACCGCAGCGGTCGCTTGCCGAGGTCCTCGAGGACCGCGTGCGGAAGGCGGCGAAGGTCGGAGCAGTTGCCTCGGCCGAGGACGCCAAGGGGGCAGAGGCGGCCGCCCCCGCCGCTGGACAGGGCGGAGCTGCCGTGCAGGAGCTGCTGACGGCCCTCCTCAAGGCGCTGCAGAGCGCGTCCAGGTCGTCCGACGACCCGTCCTTCGGCGGCGACGGTGGTGTCGCCACCGCCGAGGGCGACTTGCTGCCGAAGGGCCTCGCGTCTCGACGGGCCCACTGCAGGAGGTTGGCCCTCGAGCACCCAGGCAGACTCGCGGAGCTGAGCCTGGCGCAGATGGCAGAGTTCCTGGGGTCGCAGGACGGCGGCGGGTCGGTCGATCCGCATGGCCCGATCGTCCTTCGGTTCCTCCTGTCGGTCTACTTGCCGCAGCACCCTGTGAAGGAGATAGGGGGCGAGATCTACCGCGAGCTACGGACGATCGCGGAGGCGCCGGACCTGTTGCTGCAGGGGCGCACGGCCGCGGTGGCCGACATCCTGGCCCAGCGTTTCAAGGCCATCCAGGTGGCTGTCGGGGACGGGAGCTGGTCGGCGGCGAAGTGGCTCGAGCTGATACCGCCGCGGGACCAGCCTCTCGCGCTACGCAACGAGGAGGAGGAGATGATCAGGAGCATCCAGCACGGGGAGCTCAAGCTGGAGGAGCTCGCCTCGCGGCTGCGGCAGAAGCCTCAGGGCTAGCAGGTCGGCCGGGGCGAGGTGGGTTCGGCGTTGCCCCCTCGCCCTGCTGGCCATGCAGGGGGGATGCCCCCTGCCGTAGCGCAGGCCCCGGCGCAGAGGCAGCCAGCGGCCGCGGGCTCCGCGGAGGCCGACCGCATGCTGGCCGACAGGTCGGCAGCCCCAGCCCGTGCGGTCGTGTTGACGCGGCCCTGGAAGGACGCCAAGGCGAAGTACCCGAAGAAGGCTGGCGAGACGGTCAAGGCGTACGATGCCCGCCTGCGGAGCCTCGTGCCGACGCTGCGGTAGCGGTCGCCTCGCCGCCCGCAGCAAGCGCTCTTGGGGGGCGCCTGGCCTGCGCGGGCGCCTCTGGGGGCAGCGCAGCGGCCGATGGCCTAGTCGGCGCGGCCGAGGCCCCTCCGAGCCCCCCTCCAGGCGAGGACTCGTTCACCACTTCGGACTTCCATGACTGGCAGCGCGTGGTCACGGTCGGCTTTGGGTCGAGCCTCACTGCCGTGGACTTGTCGGTCACGCTGCTGGGCCTTACCATCACGGACCCTGGGGGTCTGGGCGCCTTCGCTAGGGAGTTCACGATGCGTACGTCCACAAGGCGGGGGAGCGGGGTGCGGGGACGTGACGTCCTCCCGCTGCCCCTGCCCTCTCTCTCCCTGGCGAGGCGATGGATTCGCAGCCGATGCGGCCCTCGCAGCAGCAGGTGCCGTCTCGCAGGAGTGGCCAGGTCCGTCATGGTGGAGTGCTGGCTTTACATGGAGGTGCTCGGCCTGAACCGCATGTACTGCGGGCGGGCGACCGCCACCTGGCAGCACGAGGGGTCCCTCACGCTGGCGCAGCGGCAGGCCATGGCGCACCTCCTGTCGCGGGCCGAGGTCTTTGCGGAGGACCCCTTCGCGAGCGTGGAGGTGCCCGCGCTGTCGTCCGCCCTCCAGCACGCGGCCATCGACTACAGCGGGGAGCCCACGGTCAAGGCACTCCCGTGCGTGCTCGCGGAGCTGAAGCCGGGCCTGCCGCAGCCCGAGCACGCAGGCGCCTTGGACGCGTGCGAGTTCGTGGATGCGGACATCGGCGCCTGGCTGAACGACCCCTCGGTGGCGCTGAAGCCCGAGGCCGAGTGGCCCAACCCGCTCCCGAGGGCGCGGGTCAACGTCATCTCTGACAGCGACTGGGAGGCCCTCGCGGTGCACTTGGTGAAGTTGGGCATCTTTACGGTGCTTGAGCCGCATGAGGTGTTCCAGGTGCGGGGCGCTCCGCTCCTCAACGGCCTCTTCGCAGTCGAGAAGAAGGGAGCGCCTGGGCCAGGGGCCGAGCGGGTCACCAGGCTCATCCTGAACATGGTCCCAGGCAACTCGCTCCTCAAGCCGTTCGTCGGTGAGGCGTCTACACTCGCGGCGTCGACGGGCTGGACGACCCTTCACCTGCCCGAGGGCTCCCTGCTGCTGTGGTCTGGCGATGACCAGAAGGGGGCCTTCTTTGTGTGGCGGATCCCGCGCTGCTGGCATGCTCACATGGCGGTGGGCAAGGCGCTGCGCGGCGACCTGTTTGGGCGCGCGGGGCCGCGGGTCTTCGTCGCCTCAGCTGTCATCTCGATGGGTTGGATGCTCGCCGTGCCGCTGTTCCAGCACATACATCGGCGATTGTGTCGGCTTCCGCCCCCGCTTGGAGCGGGCCTACCGCCAGAGGCAGAGTGGCGGAAGGACACGGTGCGGCCGCTCGCTTTTGCTAAGCAGGGTCCCGTCCTTGCATCTTGGTGGCAGGTATACATCGACGACTTCGACGCCCCCGAGATCATCGAGGAGGCCGCGGCGCTAGAGCTTCTTGGTAGCCAGGCAGAGTTGCAGGCCGCGGCCCGTGCCAGCTACGGGCGTGCGCACGTGGCGATCTCCTCCGACAAGGCGCACCTCCGCCAGCTTCGCGTTGAGAGGATGGGGGCTTCCGTTGACGGCGTCACGGGGCGGATCGGGGCCCCCCTCAGCAAGGCGTTGTCCGCCTGCGGTCTCGCCATCGCGACGCTCGGCCTGGACTTGGTCCCGTGGAGGCTGGCCATGACTGTGCTCGGCCGCCTTGTCAGGGTTTTCGAGTTCCGACGGCCCTTGCTCAGCATCTTGAATGCAGTGTGGAGGCTTTCAGAGCCGCGGGCGCAGGTCTACCTGACGCGGGAGATGAGGGAGGAGCTGATGACGGCGCTCCTCGTGGTCCCGCTCGCCGCTACTTCGTTGAGGAGCCGCCTCGAAGGGATGGCGTCGTGTTCAGACGCGTCCGAGTTCGGGGGCGGAGTCTGCGTGTCGACGGGCCTCCATGAGCAGGCGGAGGCGACCATCCTCGCCGCCGGCGAGCCTGGCGCTCAGCTGGGCGCGGGGGCGAGGGTCCTCGGCCTGCCAGTCGATCCGCGGGCGCCCTGGACTCGCAGCAATCCGCGGATCCCACGGGCCATCGTCGCCCGAGTCCTCAGGGTCCTCTGCATCGGGCTGTTCGACGGCATCGGCGGGTTGGCGGTCGCGCTCTCGCGCCTGCCCGTGCGCATCGTCGGGTACGTGAGCGCCGAGACGGACGCCAAGGCCAGGAGGGTCGTACGGCTCAGGTGGCCAGGCGCCATCGACTGGGGGGACGTCAGGACCGTGACCGCCCAGACGGTGGAGGATTTGAGGATCGCCTACCAGTCCGAGGTCGACCTTGTGGTCGCGGGCGCAGGCAGCCCGTGCCAGGGGCTCACGGGGCTAAACGCTGCTGGGCGAGGCCTGGCCGACCCGAAGTCTTCGGTCTTCTTCGAGGTGCCGCGCATCTTCGGGCTGCTGTCAGACGCTTTCGGGGCGAGTTTCAGGTGGTTCGTGGAGAACGTCGCGGGCATGACGTCCAGCAGCCTGCGTGGCATGAGCCAGGCCCTCGGCGTCAAGCCCGTGTTTCTGTGTACCTCGGCCCTGGTGCCCTGCAGGAGGCCGCGGCTGTATTGGCTGAGCTGGAGCGTCCGCCCGACCCCGCCGCTGGTCCTCCAGGAGCGCGAGGATATGTTCGTCGTCAGCTGCAGTGAGCCGCCCCTGTTGAATTTCGATTGGCGGGATCCTGGCGCGCGCTGGCTGGGCGAGCCTGGGCCTTACCCCACCCTCGTGTGCAGCAGGCCTCAGCGAGGCTACCCTTCAGCGCCGCGCGGGGTGAAGAGTGCTTCGCCCGAGGCGCTCGCTCGCTGGCAGTCGGATTCGTATCGCTACCATGTTGCGCTCTACGAAGAGAAAAACCTCTTGCAGGACAGCGACGGATCCTTGCGAGTCCCTTCGAGCTCCGAGCGGGAGAGGATGATGGGATTCGACGTGCGTTACACGGCTGTAGCCACGAAGGGCTCGAACCAGCAGGATAGCGACGACGCCAGGTCCTTCCTACTGGGCAACAGCTTCAATGTGTTCTCGGTCGCTTGGCTGCTGCAGTGGCTCTTGCTGAACCTGGGAGCTGTGACGCGCCCACTGTCCATGCAGGAGCTGGGGCACGTCGGCGAATGCACGCCGTCGTGGGACGAAGCGGGCTGCTTCGAGAGCGACGCGGGGGAGCCAGAGACCGAAGCCAGCCGTCTCTTGCTCCTCAGCTACCTCGCCAGGTCCGAGAAGGGCGGGAGCGATGTGCGTCTCGACGTGAACCTGCCGTACCGACCGAAGGGGTGGCCCAGATCGTCGCTGGACCCGTTCGTGTGGAAGTGGCGAGTCGTGCTGAGCATAGCTTGGCCCAAGCGGCAGCAGGCGCACATCAACGTCAGGGAGCTGCAGGCCGCGCTCGCGGCGCTTCGGTGGCGGGCTCGCGCCGCTCGCCGCCACTGCAGCCGCTGGCTCCACCTCGTGGACAGCCAGGTCGTCGCGGCCATCATCACGAAGGGCCGGAGCAGCAGCGCTCGCTTGCAGCCGATGCTCCGGCGCTGGGCAGCGGTCGCGGTCGCGGCCGACATGTACCCGCTGATCGGGTACATCGTGTCAGAGAACAAACCGGCCGACGAGCCATCGAGAAAGCTGTGGCGTGGCTCGCGGCTCAGGGGGCGCGGCAGTCGCGCGCCCTTGGTGCGCAAGGCCGCCCGTGCAGGCCGCCCGTGAGGCGGCGTGACCCGCGAGCCCACACCCTCTCGTCGCTCCGCGTTGGGGTGGCGACCCGCAGGCGGTATGCCGTTGCGGTCCGCAGGCTCTTGCAGTACTACGGCGCTGAGGAGAGTGGCACGACTGCGCTCGCACTGGCCATGGACGATGCGGACGGCTTGGTCGCTAGCTTCCTTGAGAGGCTCTGGGCTGAGGGCGCTGGCATTGCAGCTGCGAGCAACACCATCGCGGGCGTGGCCTTTTTCTGCCCGTCTTTGCGCAGGAAGCTCGACTTGTCCTGGTCACTCCTGCGGACGTGGCGCCGCCAAGAGCCTGCGGCGCGCGTCCTCCCGCTGACCGCAGAGCTGGTCGGCGGCATGGCGGGCTACGCCATCGCAGCAGGCGCCTTTGATTTCGCCTGCCTTCTTCTCGTCAGCTTTGAAGCGATGCTGCGAGGAGGGGAAGCTTTCAGCCTCACTGCAGGCGACGTTCATGATCGTGCATCGTGTATGGTCATCCGCATTGGCAGCAGTAAGACCACGGCGGGCAAGGATGCAGCTGAGGCCGTGGTGGTGCGGTCTAAGGCCTGTGTGCGGCTGCTGCGACTGGTCGTGGCCCATCTCGCGCCTTCAGACAGGCTTTCGCCCAGGTCGCCGAACCAGCTGAGGGCAGGATTGCAGCGCTTGGCCGAAGCGCTCGGCTTTCGAGGCCTCTTCAGCTGGCACAGTTGCCGACGAGGCGGAGCAAGTGACTTTTTCTGCCGCTCCGGCTCGATGGAGCAGACACTCGTCAAAGGCCGCTGGGCCAGCACTTTGACTGCGAGAATTTATATTGAAGATGCAGTTGCTGACCTAGTGAAGGTCAGGCCGCAAGATGAACAGTGTTCAAATGTTCAATGCGGCCTCGAGATTCTCCGTGAATTTGTCAGTTTGTGAGCGTTGAATGTGCATCTTCTATTCCCTATCCAGCCGTCCCTCTTTGTGCCCATTGCATGGTTGTGTGTACATATCTCTCAGCTTCGCTGACTTTCCATGCCTAAGTCTAGGCGGTGACTGGAAGTTAGCCTCACGGTTGTAGAGTTTTTAGAATAGTTTCTCTTAGACGGCGTGGGCGCCAAGGTTGGAGACGTGGGGAGTTAGCTGGTGACCTTCAGGGTGTGCCTTTCTGGTGCCGCACGTTCCAGCGCGTGGCCGAGGGTGTCTGTGTGGGACCTGTGGTCGGCCTCCCACGGGATGGGTGCCTCGGGACCTCGGGAGGTCCCTTGGCTGCCCGTCCTGTTCGGAGGTGCACCGTGTCTCGGTGCTGGCCTGTCCCTCCGTGATTCGGGCCCGCGTTTGTGGGTCCCGAGCGGCCCCGCGGGCTGTGGGCGCAGTGGAACCTTCGGCCAGTGTGCTGGGGGGGCGGTGTGCAAGGTCCTGAAAGTAAAGGTCACGTGTCGGGCTAACTTGACCACTGGCGTGGACGTACGCCTCCGTAAAACAGTATGACCGTTTACGCTTGTGTAAGGCAATACTGTTTGGGGGCATCGTTGAACGCCGTCTCCTTCCGTAGCCTCTTTCCAAGGCTCCCACCCGCTACCTCCCTGTAGTCCAGGGCCGCGTCGCGGCCCCTGAACGCGGAGACTGTTCTGTATAGATGCCCCCAGCTACTCCAGGTTGGTGCCCTAAGCCCAAGGGAGTTAGCTGGTGACCTTCAGGGTGTGCCTTTCTGGTGCCGCACGTTCCAGCGCGTGGCCGAGGGTGTCTGTGTGGGACCTGTGGTCGGCCTCCCACGGGATGGGTGCCTCGGGACCTCGGGAGGTCCCTTGGCTGCCCGTCCTGTTCGGAGGTGCACCGTGTCTCGGTGCTGGCCTGTCCCTCCGTGATTCGGGCCCGCGTTTGTGGGTCCCGAGCGGCCCCGCGGGCTGTGGGCGCAGTGGAACCTTCGGCCAGTGTGCTGGGGGGGCGGTGTGCAAGGTCCTGAAAGTAAAGGTCACGTGTCGGGCTAACTTGACCACTGGCGTGGACGTACGCCTCCGTAAAACAGTATATATATATATATATATATGTGATGTGTCTGACTCCTTCGACGGGGTCTGCGCTGACCTGTTGGCCAAGAAATTGGCAGCGAGAGGTGCGCCGCCAGAGGTGTCGCAGCTGTCCAAATCGTGGCTCGGCTCCCGGAGAGCCCAAGTTTCGGCGGAACGCTGCGAGCCCATCGAGATCTTGCTGGATGGCGATGTTATGGGTGCAATGTGGGGCCCGATGTCATGCAATGGGTTTTGCGCCGGTTCAGCAGAGCCGATCAGAAAGCTAGAATTTGCAGAAATTGTTTTCGCCGACGATCTGAACGCGCCCCGGGCGCGCGGGGGCGCTGCCAGCCAGGGCGCACTTCTCGGCGATTTGGACGGCTGCCAATCTGAGTCCCACCAGCGGGGCAAGGCGAATCAAGTCTCTTTTGACGCGAGTAAGGAATCCGCGCACATTCTGTCCAGAGTTCACCCGCGCTGACAAGTCTTCGATTTGTTGGGGGTGCATTTTGACGCGAGGCTCACCATGGCCGACTGGCTCCATTCTCCTGCTGGCGAAGGACTGCAGGTGGAAATTGAAAGCGGCGTTGGGGGCGCGGACATGCAACGCTGGCGCTCGTGCTGTGCAAGGCGCAGAGATTTGTCATTCATAGAGTGCCGCGCTGCTGCAACCCATCGCGCTTGCAAGTCAGCGCTGGTTGGACCATTTCCAGAACAAGCTGACCGAGGCAGTCGGAGCGAGAAAAGTGGACGCACGCTCGGCGTTCAATCCTGCGCCAGACGTGGCGCGGCAATGCTTGGATTGATTCATCGGTCCGTCCTGGGAAAGGGCCCGGGGCCTGTCAAACGGTTTCGCAGGCTGGACTCGCGGAGGGGCGCAAACCAGCAGGGGAGACATGGCTTGAAATTCGTCAAGTACTCCAACGGACACTGGGCCGATTTTGCGCTGCCCAACTCGCGCCCTGCAGGCGACATCGCAAATTATTTGCTCGGGCTGCTTGCTTGCGCGCAACAGGCTGCCGCCTGCCGCCGTGGAGTCTTCGCCCAGCGCGTCAGAGTTTCAGAGGGCGCCACAGGGCCTCATGGTGGGTCGTGACACAACTCATTCATCTAACTGCGCGCTGGTCTCCCTCCTCCTCGTCTTCCCCCCCCCTCCTCCCTCCTGCCCCCGCCCCTGCCCCCTCTTGGAGGGGGGGGGAGGGGGGGGGGGGCGAGTAAGGGGAGGAGGAGGAAGAGGACAAGTGTAAACCCCAGAGGCATCAACGATGTTTGAATAAGCCCTCCCTCCAAGCTCCCTCTTCGCAGGCCCCATCAACGGTTGATTTTGTCCTGGGGGGACTGCCTTGTCGGAAGACATCTGTTTGAAGATCTCGAAACACGTCAGAAAAAATGTTCTCGGGATTTCAACGCCGCGGATCAATTTGACTGCTGCGTCTTGGCGATCCTGAATCGCGCGCGAACGCCATTCTTCGCCCTTGCACACCGCCAGTCAATATTACTTGTGCACCCCCATAAGCCCGACCCCCTCCATAACACAATTAGTGGTCCGCTGACCAATGGATTTGGTGAAATGCTGGCAAGTGTTTAAGACGAGTGTGCACGGCGCTACAGCGAGAGCCACAGTTTCAAAAGGCATTCGCCCTCAGCCCGTGAAGCTCTTGCAAATGTTTAAGACGAGCGTGTGCGGCGCCAAAGCGAGAGCCACATTTCGAAAACCATTCGCCCTCAATCCGTGGAGTTGTTTTGCATGTTGTTAAGACGAATGTGCGCGGCGTTGAGGCGAGAGACACATGTTAAACACAACTCGCCCTCAACCCGTGAAGCACTTGCCATGTTTAAAAGCAAATGCGCGCGGCGCTACGGCGAGAACCATATTTTGAAAACGACCCGCCCTCAATCCGTGAAGCTGTTGTACATGTTGAAGACGAGTGTACGCGGCGCTAATGCGAGAGCCGCATTTTGAAAACCACTCGCCCTGGATCGGTGAAACAATTGCAATGTTTAAAGCAAATGCGCGCGGCGTTGAGGCGAGAGCCACCGTTTGAAAACGTCCTGCCTTCCATCAGTGAAACGGTTGCCAGATCTTAAGCTTCAGAACCATCAGTGGTGAGGAATTCTCGCGCGGAACGCCTGGCCCGCCCTCAAACTTGGTTTCGGGTTGCGACAGGGAGAAGTTCTTTATTTGGAGAAGGAATGGAAGAGGAGGAGGAGGAGGAAGAGGAGGAGGAGGAGGACGAGGAGGAGGAGGAGGAGGACGAGGAGGAGGAGGAGGAGGAGGAGGAGGGGGGAGGAGGAGGCAGGAACTGGGGGGGGGGAGGCGGAGGACGATGAGGAAGAGGAGGGGGAGGAGAAGGTGGAGGGGGGGGAGGGGAGGAGGAGGAGGAGGAGGTCCAGGAGGGAAGGAGGAAGAGGAGGACGAGGACGAAAAAGGGGACAGGGAGGAACCAGGGAATGCGCGCGAGTAGGAGAAGGAGGATGCGTAAGGATTATCGGGGGGACGTGGAGTGTGAGGAGGAGGAGGAGGAGGAGGAGGAGGAGGAGGAGGAGGAGGAGGAAGAGCAGCAGTTAGAGGAGGAGGAGGAGGAGGAGGAGGAGGAGGAGGAGGAGCAGGAGGAAGGAGAAGGAGAAGGAGAAGGAGAAGGAGAAGGAAAAGGAGAAGGTGGAGGAAGGCGGGGAGGAAGGCGGGGAGGAAGGCGGAGGAAGAGGCGGAGGAGGATCGTCCCCGGGCATCCCCCCCCAGGCTTCGGGGCGAGGGCGGGCTCGACTCTGAGATGCCGGCGCTGGCCCGCGGGCAGCCTGCGACGCCGAGGCTTGCGCCAGTCGCCGCCGTCGTCTTCGTCCGCGTCGGCGTCGCTGCCAGGGGGAGGGCGAGGAGGGGGAGTGGGTGGGGAACGAGGAGGATGAGGGGGCAGCGGGAGGTCCAGGAGGAGGAGGAAGAGGAGGAGGAGGAAGAGGAGGAGGAAGAGGAGGAGGAAGAGGAGGAGGAGGAGGAAAATGAGGAGGAGGAAGAGGAGGAGGAGACAGCACGAGGTGCAGGAGGATGAGGAGGTCCAGGAGGAGGAAAAGAGTTGGGGAGAGAAGGAGGAGGAGGCCCCAGGAGGAGGAAGAAGAGGGGGAGGCCCCAGGAGTAGTGAAAAGCAGCGGCAGGAGGGCGATGATGATGGTGGTGATGATGATGCTGATGCTGATGCTGGTGGTGATGATGTCGATGCTGATACTGATGCGTATGTAGATGTTGGTGTTGATGTTGGTGATGAAGGTGATACTGATGATGATGCTGATGATGCTGATGAGGATGATGATGCTGGTGATGATGATGCTGATGCTGCTGATGATGATGGTGCTGATGAATATTATGATTATGATGGTGTTGGTGGTGGTGGCGGTGATGGTGATGATGATGGTGGCGGTGAGGATGTTGGTTTTGATGAGGGTGGTGATGACGATTATGATGATGGCAATGATGCTGATGATGATAATGATGATGCTGCCCATGATGATGATGATGATGATGATGATGATGATGATGATGATGATGATGATGATGATGATGATGAGGTTGGTGATGGTGTTGATGATGCTGATGATGATGCTGGTGGTGGTGATGATGATACTGATGCTGATGATAATGATGCTGATGACGGTGATGCTGATTATGTTGTTGTAGCTGGTGTTGTTGATGATGAGGTCGATGGTGCTGATACTTTCTATAATGATGTTGATGATTATGATGCTGGTGTTGATGATAGTGGTGCTGCTACTGATGGTGGTGATGATGCGGATCATAATGAAGGTGCTACTGATGTGGTGATGATGCTGCTGGTGAGTATGGTACTGATGTTGCTGATGATGAGCAGTAATATACTGATGATGATGACACTTGTGTAATGACGTTGATGATGCTGGCGATGCTGATGGTGCTGATGATGATGCTGCTGATGATGATGCTGATGATGATGATGATGATGCTTATGATGATGATGATGATGATGATGATGATGCTGATGATGATGCTGATGATGATGCTGATGCTGATGCTGATGATGATGATGCTTTTGATGATGATGATGATGATGATGATGCTGATGGTGATGATGATGCTGATGCTGATGATGATGCTGATGATGATGCTGATGCTGATGCTGATGGTGATGCTGATGGTAATGCTGCTGCTGATGATGATGATGATGATGATGATGATTATGATTATGATTATGATTATGATGCTGATAATGCTGCTGATGATGATGGTGATGATGATGCTGATGGTGATGATGATGCTGATGTGATGATGATGATGATGATGCTGATGTGCATGTGATGATGATGATGATGATGATGCTGATGAGGATGATGATGATGATGAGTGAGGAAGGGGAGGACGACGAACCACGGAGGAGGAGGAGGAGGAGGAGGATCTTGGCGGTGGCGATAGGAGTGAGGAGGAGGAGGAGGAGGAGGAGGAGGAGGAAGAGGAGGAGGAGGAGGAGGAGGAGGCAGGAAAGGAGGAGAATGAGGAGGAGGCGAGGAGAAAAGAATAAGCAGAAGAATAAGAAGAAGAAGAAGAAGAAGAAGAAGTGGGTGGAGGGGGGGATGAGGGGGAGGGGGAGAGGGAGGGGAGGGGAAGGGAGGGAAGGCGGGTGGGGGAGAGGAGGAGGAAGAGGAGGAAAGAGGAGGAGTGGAGGAGGAGGAGGAGGAGGAGGGAGGGAGGAGGAGGAGGGAGAGGGGGAGGGGGAGGGGGAGGAGGAGGAGGAGGAGGAGGAAGGAGGAGGAGGAGGAGGAGGAGGAGGAGGCGCACTAACAGCCGCCGATCGCCAGCTTGTCTCCCCAACCTCGTGCCTCCAACCTCCCTGCACCGTTTCAACCCGAGGCACCTCCAGGCATCGCAACTTTTTGCAGCTCGTGTTCGCACACCCTTTCCACCTGCCTGCCGCCACGAAACCGATTCCCCAGTGCACCCACCGTAGAGGGCCGCGTGAGAGTGTCGGGAAGGCCGTTTTTTTGCAGCTGATCGCATTAGCGTCAGCCAGCCTGGCCATGCTAATACCACGTTCAGCCAGTCCGTCTCCAGTCGCCGTGAACACGTGCCGCACGCCTTCTGCCACATTGGAGGGGAGGGGGAAGTCATCATGACTGGAGGGGGGGGGGCTACCAAAATGACCACATGTCTACCTGGGCGAGTGGGGCCTTAGCCCCGTGCCTGCGACACCGCTGCCTCACCAGCGCCAGCCTCCCCCCCTCGCCCCCTTTGTATTGTGAGCCTCCAGGTCTTGCATCCTCCCCCTCTCTCCTCATCCACTGTTGTCTTACAGTGGAGACCCATGCCAAGAAACACCCTGCTTGCCTCCAGGGTGCCCTGGGTTTCTTGCGTTTCGATGGTTTTTGCTATGGAAGGCGTGACGTTCCCACACCAAGAATCGATGAACGCCCTGAGGTTCCAGGGTTGGGTTTCTTGTGGAAGGTTTCTTGTGGTCGGGCTCCTACTGTATGAGCCTCCAGGTCGTGCATCCTCCCCCCCCTCTCCTTATCTACTGGTGTCTTACCGTTTTCTGCCACCCCGCAGCCGTCGGAAGACTGGAGCGACCGCTCCAGGAGTCGCCTGGCTCACTAGTTTACTAGTTTGATCAACCCCGCAGTGGCCGACCAGGGGAGGGATACATCGGACGATTTTCTCGCCAGAAGGGCTTCAGAGTCTCAACAGGCGGAGGGGAAGGAGGAGGGGAAGGAGGAGGAGGAGGAGGAGGAGGAGGAGGAGGAGGAGGAGGAGGAGGAGAGGAGAAGGAGGAGGAGGAGGAGGAGGAGGGAGGGGGAGGAGGAGGAGGGGGAGGGAGGAGAGAGGAGAGGAGAACGAGGAGGAGGAGGAGGAGGAGGAGGAGGAGGACAGCGTCACGCTCAGGTTGGTCTAACGTTCAGGAGCAGGCGGAGGAGGAGGAGTCCAAGGGAGGAAGGGGCAGGAGGATGAGCGGCAGCTGCGGCGGCCGGAGTGGCAGCTGGAGCACCACGAGGGTGGAGCGCCGCGCCGAAGCGCGCCCGCCGAGCGCGCAGCTGAAGCCCCCCGAAGGTCCAGGAGGCCCCCCGAGAGCGAGCCGCTGGTGTTCGACAGGCCCCCGCCGGCCGCGAGCCTCTGCGAGCCGCTGGTGTTCGACAGGGCGCCGCCGGCGCCGCGCCCGCCGAGGCGGCGCGAGCTGCAAGAGACGGGGGCCAGTGCAAACGGGGGTCGTCATGGGCCCATCTTCCACCATCACTACCATATGTCGGAGGAGGAGGAGGAGGAGGAGGAGGAGGACCTCATCCTCCCCTCTCCCCCGTCCTACATATGGTAGCGGTGGTGGAATATTTGCCCATGGGGTCAGCTAACTTGTCTGCCGGATCTTGCAGGATCCCGCGGAGCCAGGATTGCATGGACCCTGGCCAGCGCGCAGGATCCTGCAGGAGCTTGCAGGACCCCGCAAAGCCTGCCTGACACCTGGGCTTGCATCAGTGACCAGGGTCTATAAAATCCCCGGGCGGCGACGGCGCTGGCGCTCGTCGTTCCGGTCCAGGTCTTCGCCGCCGCCGTCGTCGTTGTCGTGTTGGCCGTGGCCTTGGTCCCCCCAAAGAAGAAGAAGAAGAAGAAGAAGAAGAAGAAGAAGAAGAAGAAGAGTAACAACAAAAACATCAGGAGGGGAGGGGTTCGCTCTTTTCTGCCCTGGGGGGCCCTTCGCCAGGCCCTGGGACCGTAACACACCAACTCACGCTGAAAGACCAGTCGTGTGGAATTGGTGGGGACTTCCGGGGACGCCATATTAAGAAAAAAGGGCGTCACATGCCTTGGGTTGGACTGCGCGCTGGAGTCACCTTTTGGTGCGGGCTCATCGGGGTCCGCCCGGTTGCTGATCATGATGCAATAGCGGCTGCTTGCGCACTTGGACTTGTCTTGGCCTTGGTCCTGGTTTCGGGGAACAACCAATGACATAGGCATATAAACTCCGAGGTCCGCGCGGATTCTTTGGATCGGCG